AAATTATATGATACAAATTCTAAAATCTTTTCTGATAAAATCTTACTAAAGTCTCTAGTCATGTGTTCAGTTAAACACTATCGTTCAACATTATTAAAGGGTAAGCTCAACAATTTTCAATCAACTTTGTATTGTTACAATGTTGGTAATATATGTAAAAGAACAATGTTTATTCTTTCTCTGAGATACCCGGTTTATCTGTCAGCAAAACTGCTGCATGACGCAAAACACAGCATTTTGTCATTTTGATGATGCAAAAAGTGTTTTTGTCATTTTGTAAAAACTCGTCATTTCATTTTGAGTCATCCTGCAGAGTGTTGCTTACAAATAAAAGGGGATATATAGATACACATAACTCAGAGAAAGAGTAAATATTGTTCATTTACTGATATTAGAGACGTTGAAATAATACAAAGTGGGTTGAAAATTGTCAAACTTACCCTTAAAGGCAATATAAGGATAATATTTGTCAGTTTTGTATGTTCATGTACAGTTGCCGTCATCTGAAGTCTTCACACGTGCGGCTGGATCAAACTGGAGCTGGCGTAACCTCTAGTAACCTTGGAATGGGCATCCCGAGATAGAAACAGGAAAACAAAAGGAGAAAGATTAGCATAGCTGCTGTTCATATTATTTCAGACAAAAGATGACTTATTTCATCACATAAAACTGTAGTGCAAGGTTATGAGATGTGTTATGTGAATACTTGGCTAAAAAGAAGTATTTTTTTTATAGTTTTATTTTCAGATATAATATGTGAAACAAAACATATATTGCATACATAACATTGCAAGCATTATTTTTCTTTTACAAAAGCAAAATTATATAAGGAAATAAAGAAAAAAAACATGCAACTCAGGAATCATCTATTTAGCTGCAATAATTATTAATATAAAATCTAAAAAATATTGTATTTCCTTGCAACTAATTTGCAATAAGAGAAGGTAAATACTATATAATATAAAGAGCCCCACATTTTTTTGAATGATTTTGGTGATTTCCTAACCCTCCTAATTCCTAGAGGATTTTCTCAGGGGTGCAGTATGAAATGAGCTCGTTGATCCAATGTTTTCTAGATGGAGAATGAGTCGACTTCCAGTTCACTTTTCCCAGCCGTACCAGCTAAAAGTGTGAAGTACTTTTTATGATGAGACAAATCTAATAATTCAGTATCCCCTAATATCCAAATTCTAGGATCATAACTGATTGGGATTCCTATAACCTTTGAAGATATATCAATTACATATTTTCAAAAATCATTCAATACAGGAAAATTCCAAAGCATATGAAGTAAATTGCCTTCAGATGTTTTGCACCTTTGACATTTTGAAAGAATATCAGTATTTAACGTGTAGTTTGAGGAGTATGTGTCTAATATAATTGAAACTAAAAGAGTGTGTCTGAGCCCCATTATTATCAGGAAGTCTATTTCAAAGTAAAATACCAAAAAGCTCTACTTCCTTTAGTGGACTTTGATAAATCCTTGGTATTATCAATAGTCCAGAATTTTGTGACCTCATTACAGGCAAAGCACCATAGCTGCTGCTGACCCTATTTGTGCTTATTTTGCTATATGTATCTGGTTTAATCACAAGGTGGTGTAATACGTGCACATCCAAAACCTTTAGGCAGGTGCTCAATCACATGAAACACTTCACCTATCAATAAACAAAAATCGGCACACTGCCACTAATGCTCTTAAAAAAAAGTGTTTCATGTGATCCCTTAGTAAATGTATTATTTGTCCTCATTATTTGGGGAACAGGCACTGTCTCTATAGAATGGACTACACGTGCCACAGTATTATTTAAGTGGGTGGAACATCATAACTAATTTACACTACCGTTCATAAGTTTGGGGTCAGTAAGATGTTTTACGTCTTTGAAAAAAGTCTCTTCTGCTCACCAAGGCTGCATTTATTTGATCAAAATTAAGTAAAAACTGTAATATTGTGAAATATTATTACAATTTAACACTATGGTTTTCAATGTGAATATATTGTGAAATGTAATTTATTTCTGAGGTCAAAGTTGAACATTCATTACTCCAGTCTTCAGTGTCACATGATCTTCAGAAATCATTCTTATATGCTGATTTGCTGCTCAAGAAACATTTTTTATTGTCAATGTCTTACCAATTATCAAAAGTTAGAACAAACATTCGTTTCAAATCAATGCTGTACTTTTTAAAAACCTTTTTATTCAAAGAATCCTGAAAAACAAAATGAAGCAGCACAGCTGTTTTTAACATTGATAATCAGAAATGTTTCTTGAGCGGCAAATCAACATATTAGGATGATTTCTGAAGTGGGGAACAGGCACTGTCTCTATAGAATGGACTACACGTGCCACAGTATTATTTAAGTGGGTGGAACATCATAACTGTAATTTACACTACCGTTCATAAGTTTGGGGTCAGTAAGATGTTTTACGTCTTTGAAAAAAGTCTCTTCTGCTCACCAAGGCTGCATTTATTTGATCAAAATTAAGTAAAAACTGTAATATTGTGAAATATTATTACAATTTAACACTATGGTTTTCTATGTGAATATATTGTGAAATGTAATTTATTTCTGTGGTCAAAGCTGAACATTCATTACTCCAGTCTTCAGTGTCACATGATCTTCAGAAATCATTCTTATATGCTGATTTGCTGCTCAAGAAACATTTTTTATTATCAATGTCTTACCAATTATCAAAAGTTAGAACAAACATTCGTTTCAAATCAATGCTGTACTTTTTAAAAACCTTTTTATTCAAAGAATCCTGAAAAAAATGAAGCAGCACAGCTGTTTTTAACATTGATAAT